TCATATCCCTTTTATTTTTTTCTCTTGCCTGATTGCTCTGGCTAAAGTTTAGTGTACTGTATGGAAGAGGAGTTATGAAAGTAAACACTCTTGTCTCATTTCTGATTTTAAAAGAAATGCTTCAAGTTTTTCCTTATTTAGTATAATGTTGGCTGTATGTTTGTCATACATGGCTTTTATCAGTTTGTGGTAAAGTCCTTCTATACCTATTTTCACCAGGATTTTTTAACATGAAGAGATTTTTAAAAAAATTTTCAAAGGCTCTTTCTGATTCCATAAGATGATCATGTGACTTTTATCCTTGATTCTGTTTATGTTCTGTATTACATTTATTAATTTATGTACTTTGAACCATCTTTGCATCTCTGGGATGAAACAAATTTGCTCATGGTATATGATCTTTTTAATGAGTTGTTGAATTCTATTTGTAAGTAACTTATTGAGAATTTTTGCAGATATGTTCATAGAGAACATTGGCTTGTAGTATTCTTTTGTTGTTGAGTTCTTATTTGGTTTTGGTATGCTGGCTTCATAGAATGAGTTTAGACACATTCTTTCTCTTTCAATTACATTATATTTTTGAGTAGTATTGCCTTAGTTCTTCTTTAAAGTAAATCTTGTAAATCCATTGGGTCCTGGGCTTTTCTTAGGTGATAGTTCTTTTTTTTTTTTTTTAACTGAATCAATTTCATTGTTTGTCATTGGTCTCTTCAGGTTTTGTTTATCTTCTTTACTTAATTTTGTTAAGTCATATGTCTATGAATTCTTTGGTTTATCAGAGTATAAATTTTTGAAATAGTTTTAACAATCCTCTAGAATTCAGTAGAGTCTGTTGTAAATTTGCCTTTTTTCATTTCTAATTTATTGATATAAGGCTTCCCTTTCTTTTGGTAAGTTTGGCTAAGGGTTTACTAATCTTATTTATCCTTTCAAAGAACCAACTCTGATTCATTGATTTTAAAATAGTTTTGTTTGTATTAGTACACATTTGGAGACATAATGATTACGTTCATTATGGGAGTAGACACATGCATATAACACATCTTAATTCTTTTCACATCCCTTTCCTTCTCCTCCCTCCCATGCTTAGGGTGGGTAGCACTCACACCCAGGATGGGCTGCCCTTTCCAGCATTACATCCTTAATCCCAGCATCACACACTGTAGACCCAACCACATCTGAGAAGCTCCGTCTATGACCACCTGAGGCTTTGGAGGGACACCTAGATATAAGGCATAACAATCATGTCATATGCAACTACTGATAATTTGAATTCTTCTTTTTCTATAACTATTTTTTAAATTTCTTTCTTTTGCCTGATTCCTCTGACCAGTGTTTTGAGAACTTTACTGAACAGGAGTTGTGATAGTGGATATCTTTATCTTGCTCCTGATTTTTTTCTTTTATTTCTGATTTTAAAGGGAAAGTTTTCAGCTTTTCCCCATTTAATATGATATTGGTCATTGGTTTGTTATAAATGGCTTTATTAGATTCAGATAAGGCCCTTATATACCTATTTCCTTTAGGGTATTTATCAGGAATGGATGTTGCATTTTGTCAAAGGCTTTTTTTCTGCATCTATTGAGATAATCATGAGATTTTTGCCCCTGCTTCTGTTTATGTATTATTTATTGTCTAGCATATGTTGTATCATTCCTGCATCCCTAGGATGAAGCCTACTTGGTCATACTGTATCTTTTTTAATGATTTGTGGCATCTTGTTTGTCAGTATCTTGCTGACAATTTTTGTGTTTATGTTCATAACATAAAACACATTGGCTTGTAGTTTTCTTTTTTGCTGTGTCCTTTTCTGGTTGTAGAAACAGAGTGATATTAGCTTCCAGAAATGACTGGCATTTTTCCTGTCATTGCATTATTTCCCTATTGCTGATTTCCTTTTCTTAACTTCTTACTGCTCACCCTGCCTGATGCATTCATTCTATTAGACATTTTGGCATTGTTAGCTTGCTGTATCTCTTTGAGGTTCTAAATGCCTCTTTTACCTGGGTATCAATCTCATTCCTCAGATTTGAGAAATTTGGGGAAATTTTGTAATGATTTCAGTGAATAAATATTTTATGTCATTAGCCTCTACCTCAACCTCTTCCTCCAATTCATTGATCCCTAAGCTTGTTCTTTTAAATTTATCTGGGTGTACTTAGAGAATCTTTTTATTCCCTTTTTTTCATTATTGTTGACTAGATGTTGTTTTAGATTCACCTTGTCTTTAAGGCTTGATATCCTTTCTTTTGAATGATCTTGGCTACTGCTGAGATTTTCAATTGACTTTTTCACTCCAGGATTTTTGCTTGTTTACTTTTCATAGTTTCTAATTCCTTACTGAAGTAGTCTTTCATATCCTACATTGTTTTCCTTAATTCACTCAACTGCTTATTTATATCTTCTTTAATGATCATCTTAGCAATTGATTCATTCAGCTGTTTGTCTCTTCCTTGATGTCTTTTTAATAATTTTAATTATTTGTTTTTTAAAAAATTCTTTAGGATTTTGTCCACTTCAGTATCTTTGAGATATGCTTTTGAGGAGTTACAAATTCTTTGAGTCATCTTATTGCCTTATTTTCTCAGTTTTGGGGGATTTTTATGTTGAAGGTTGCAGATCAGTTGAGACAGAAAGCTGTGCCATTATTGTGGAGATAGTTTTAGTACATGGATTTCTCCCTGTGATGTGTCCTTGCCTTTGGGTTTGATTCAGCATGCAGGCACCCAGTGGGCCTATGCAGAGTACGAGGTTCAATCCTTAGCACTGCATTGCAAGGCAAGAACAGCTACCAGTGACATTAGCATCCAAAGAAGCAACCATATATCAACATACAACAAATCTTACTTAAGAAGTTCTCAACTCTTTCTGTAACCCAGGAAGACAAAGGAATAGTAATGATGAAGGATACGCTTGGAAATGGAAGAAAAATAAGGAAAAATTAAGAGGAAAGAAAAAAGAGAGACAAAAACAAATAAAGGAAAAATAGGTTTTGATGATAATATTTTTATACCCAGAAAGGAGGAGGCACAAGGTGCAGTCTTGAAAGGCTTTGTGAGGAGGTGGAAAGAAACAAGAAAAGTGAAGAAAATACAAATGGGAAGTAATAGGAGATATATAGAGATATGATCCTTAATAAAATAGCAGAAACGCAATGTTAGAAGACCTGAGTCATTGGTGAAGGAGAACCACACAAGTGAAAATAATACAGTGTAGAAGCAAAGGCAATAATTGGCCTTCAAACACAGTTACATATATATGATCTCCCCACACATATACTTGAAAAACAAGAAAAAATAAGTTTTAATGGTGGTATTTAGATACATGAAAAGAAGGGGTTCGGGAGGGGAGACTTGAAAGAGTATGAATGGAAAGGAAGGCAGAAGAGGTGGGGAGGAGTTTAAATGGAAAGTGAAGGAAGAGAGGAGATTGAGTTCAACTAATGACCTAAGAGAAACACTAATTTAGCAAACCCTACAACTTTTTGTGGAAGAACATAACATGACATGGTAACATACTATAGAAGTAAAACCAATAACTAGTACTCATATGGAGTTACAAATACAAGTACACCCTCCTGGAATTTACAGAAAGAAACATCACACAAGAAAAAAAAAAAACCTTTAAAATATTAGAAATCCCCCTACTCCGCAAAACAAAACAAAACAACAAGAAAACCAGTCCAATATTCCTTCTTGTGATGATATTTATATTGGGGTCTAAATCTCCCCTTTGCCTCCGTTCAAGTAAAACAGGCCTTGCAGAACTTGCGGGAGACTTAGGCTGAGCTCTACTCCTCTTGGTTGCGGCTGAGGACTTGGATAGGACAGCCAGTGATGAATCAAGACCACTTACTGTCTTAAACTCTTCCATACCTGAGAGGAAGGGACCAGAGAATCCAGACTGTGCACAGCACCTGTCACATGTGTGGTCCATATGCAGTTCTAGAGCCTAAGAACCTGGTGACAAGGTGGAGAGTCTCTGGCAGTCATGTGCATAATACTGCCTGAGCCACTCTGCCCGTATCTTGTCTCTTACACCTGCTCCCCAACCATGGGGGAGATGATATGGCCATGCTTATTCTTGTGACTGCATTAGTCAGAGTTCTCCAGAGAAATAGAGCCAATAGAAGATTGATTATATCTATATATCAACACATAGATATATACAGTATCTTCTCTTCATATAGTATGTATGTAATAAATCGATCACATATATATATGTAACTAATATCAATTCATGTATGACCAAGAGAAGCTAATTCTCCTAAGATCATAGGTACGGGTATGTGGGGATAAATCTGGTTTTCAAATTTAATCATCCCCTACTCATTCCACTAAGCCAGGCTTTCTCCACAAAGTGCATTCTAGTTACCTATAGCACCCACCTGTGGAGTCCCTAGTAACGGAGACTGAGAAGGAGAAGAGATGGTCTAGGGAGAGGTGTGCATCCCTAAACCTCTACAGTTCCAATGAGCACACATGAGCCAAGGGCCAGTTTTGTATTCAGCTGATGGACCATCTGCATTATGTTTCTGAACTCTTGAGGGCTGTCTGGACATCTCTGGAAAAAAAGTCTTGCTTGGTTCACCCTAAATCACAATTATTCTTAAGTTGTCAAATCCCTGTTAAAAATTAATTAATTAACCAATTTAATAATTAACTTTGTACCTGCTTGTGGTTGACGTTGCTTGTGGGGAACTGGTACATGTACACAATGCATCTTAATTCCTTTTTTCCACCCTTTCCCTCCCCTGTCTCACCCCTCCATCCATCTGTTGATCCCCTTCTTTTTTCTTAATTTTCAAAATCTTTTCACTCTATTCAGAGTTAACAAAACTTGCTATTTAATACAAAAAAGGAAATAAAATTTGTTTCCAAAATGCTGCATGTTTATTTACATTTGTACCTCATATGCTACTATTTTAACCACTAGAGGGGGATATGACTCTACCTAGTACACTGAATAGAAGTCAACATTTTTTTTTTTTTTTTTTTTAAAACAGTGTATTGCTTTTATTTGGGGGCCTGGAGGTGGGGGAAAGACACCATGGTGAGGGAAGAAATCGAGGACTACAAATGCAGGAACAATTATTAAAACAGTAATACACAAAATGAGTAACTGGAACCATTTTCTTAGGAGGACCTGACTCATGGAAGAAAAACTTTAATCGCTGTTGCAAAAACATTTTTATGAAGTAGAAATTGGTTTCAATAATATTACTAGAGAATATGTTCTAGAAAGTGGAGGTAACTAGATGTAAAATCCTGGCAGCAATTTAACAGAAAAGTCCCAGATTATTAGGCTGAGGCCAACACGCAATGAGGACGAAAGCCTTGTCTGTGGGGAATCTTGGACGATACCTGCAGAAATATTACATTGTGCATGAACCAAACTGAATTATTTTCACAAGTGTTGTAAAGTTTCATACAGTAAAATTTTTCTACCTGCACTTCAATTTCACAGCAAGAGTGGCATAGAATACCTAAACACAGAAGAGAGCATTCATGCAAGATATCTAACTCCTTGATATAATAATTCATACACTTCAAAATGATTACACTATCATTACATATAGGGCTTTCTGCAACTACAAGGTGATGGTTATGGAAAGCATAGCCCCTGGTATCAGCATCTAGAAAGCAGCCACCACCTTCTATGTGTGTTCTCTTTTTGCGTTTTTTCTTCATTTTTCTTAATCAACTCTGCTGTTGCTGCTGCTTCTTAGCAAAACTGGTAAAAACAAAATTGTAATCACTGAACATAGCACTCTGGCAATCAAGACGTTTAAAACCTTCAATCTTCTGGGGTGAAGAAAGCACTGTACAACATTTAGAACTCTGATTAACAAACAAGGTGATCACAAATTTTCCTGGCTTGAAGACTTTCACAACTTTCCTGATCAGGTCATCATAGGAGGTCTGATTTAAGTTTGTTTCAAAGCTAACATAAGCAAACTCTAGTTCTGGAGTGATGTGAATAGTCCAGTAAGTTCCATCCGATTTCATTCCATTCATTGAATACCCACAAGGATTGAACAGTGTGGCATCAATGACAGAACCTGGTACCAGGTCACGAATTCCACTCTCACGAGTGACATCCTTTGCAGTAACACCATCTTTCATGTAGAACTGGTCCACAACTCCTGGGTCAAGCTCGCTCATCAGAATTTCCAGGGTCTGATCTGGCTGACTGATTACTCGACTCTCTGGGAAATCCAAAGTATACAAGTACCAACAGTCAGAATTCATATGTCCCATACAATATGCTGCTCCATTTGGGAAAATTGCATTAAGAAACTCTATTTCTTCCTGGAAATTCCGGTGTGGGTACCCTTGGTGAGAAGGCTTCATGAAATTCTTACGAGAATAAAAGAAGCTTTGAATCGAGTCAAACCCACTGTAATCCCTAGCAAGCTTCAACAGGGGAACCAGTGCTTTCAGTCAGAGGGTGGTACCACATGTCTTCAAAATGAAACGTCTCTTGGGGACAAACATGCTACTCTCACTGAGTACATAAGCTTCCTGCTTGTCAGTTTTTGTCACACTTATGATTGAACATTGCACATCCTTCAAAAGTACATCCCACTCAGATCTCGGGGATAGTGCGAAGATCCCCAGATCCCTGGCTGGCGTCGGGTTTCTGACGGGAGAACCAACCTCCAGCAGCTTCTCGGTCCCTTAGAAAAAATGTGCAGCTTCCATCACCGTGAGACTAGCGAACAACCAACAACCACAGAAAATCAACTAAATTAAATCTCTTCTCCTGCCGTTGCCGCCGCCGCTGCGGATTGTTCCAGCTGTGTTGCTATAAAGTTCAGGTTCCTTTTTTGCTATAATTTTATATTAACTTTTTTTAAAAAAGGATTAATAAAATTTTCCCGGCTTTTTTATTTGAGCGAAAGTTGAACGTGAGTTTGTTTGGAAATAGAGGCAGATACAGTTCAGTCTCTTGTAGTCCGCTGCTTTCCCGTTAGGGAGAGTAGAGCGAGCGCTAGCTAATGTCGCCGCCCATACTATGTAAGCTAGAAGTCAACTTTTGATAGCTGTTTTGCAAAATATTTGGTCTCAGACTTGGTAAAATAATCTCAAAAGTGATGAGAATACATATTCTAAGTTAAATAGTCTTATTAAGTCCCCTTAAATAGTCTAAATTTATATCTAAAGTTGTTCAAGATAAGGACAAAATTATTGCATGTTATAAGAAAAGATATCATTAAATATTGATGTTTAAAAATATATATGCTCCACCGCTGTTGGCCACCTCCTTAGAAATATGTACAAAGCATCTTTCTTCAGCAATGGAAAAACTTTTATTTTTTTTCTTTCAAATTTATATATAAATTCCATTTCAATCACCAAATAATAGACTTTTAGAATTTTTGATCACTTTCTCAAACTTCCCCGCAAGAAAAAGTGTGTATATTAATTGAAATGCATTTGTAAAAATTTCAGATAAGCATAGGATTCTAATTATGACATTATTGCTAACATTTAATTAATGAAAGCAGCATAAATGTATTATGCATATTGATAATTATCAAGTCAAACTGGTAAAATTTTACTTAAAATATAGATATTAAGTGGATGGACATTTATTCTACACTGAGGTGTGGTTCAGCATCAGTTTTATTTCAGAGAAACATAGGTAGACCAAAAAGGAAGTTTCAGTCAGAAAATAACATAACATTCCTTGAACTCCTCTTGTTGTATGTCAAAAGTCACATTATCATTGCTCGTATTTTAATTTCAATACATTAGTGATCTTATAGCTGTCAACTGTATTAGATCTCCCTAATATTTTGTTATTTACTTGCTGTTTGTATTTTCTTTGCTATTTCTCATAGCAAGGAAGAACAAGAGGGCTGGGGATGTAGCTCAGTGGCGCCGTGCCTGCCCGGCAAGCACAAGTTACTTGGATCGATTCCCAGTACGCCCCCCACCCCCCACCCCCAAAAAGAAAGAAAGAACAAGAAATTGATTTTTTAAAATTATTGTTACCTACTCAATAGAGTCCACTTGTTTCAGCAATATTTGGATTTTCTTGTGACTTGATGCTATGGAAGGTTTTTCAATTCTCAGGGCATTGTTCATTCTGTGTGGTCAGACTAGCAAAGGGTGAAGGATATGTATTTCACTTGTAAAACGGAAGCAGAATAATTATGAAATGGGAGTGGGCAAGGAAAATCAGTATAATCTTCAACCCTGGAAATGGCTTCCAGCAGAAGAGTTTTAAGAAATGCCACTGACAAAAACATTAAGATCTAGAAATAATGTGCACACACCTTACAGAAAGTATTAATGTTAGCCAGTTGGAAAATCATTGTCCTAGATAAAATTTTAAAGAAACTTTTCTCACCTTTGGTCCTTTGAAATCAATTGAGTTGAGAATATGTGATGAAGTCTGAGAAGTACGTAGGCCTCAAATTTAATTTTTATCTAAATTAGCATATTATTTTAGTGATCAAGGAAGAAATTTCTTTTTGCAAATCAATGTGTATATTAAGCTATATCTTCTAATTTTTGTTCATATTATAATAGCTAGAACTTGATATTCTACATTTTAATGATTAAAAATATACTTTAATAAAATTAATCATACCTGTAATATGGAGACAGAGATACCTGCAAAAAGCAATGCTTCCATAAAAAGGAGCAGCCCCTCGAACCACCTACCTCTCCAATGTCTACTTCCCTTTTAACTCCCTTGCCTGGCCCTTATGGTTATAACCATCATGCATCTATACAAAATGTGTATTTGCTACTTTTCAATCTCAGTTTTATTCAATAACAAATCTCCATTACAAAGAATGAAAATCTACTTTGATTTTATCTCCATCTATACAGGACATTCTATTCCCCTATCTCTCTGCATAGATTTAACTTTAATAAGAACATCTTTTACATTATGTTTATCTTTTACTTTATGATAACTATGTAAACTTTTTTTTTACTCCTAAGCTGTATGGTAAATTGTGACTACTTTTATTTTCAACTGCAACTATCTTTTTTTTCCCATTAAGTTTATTGGTGCATTTTAGATATAAATTACAGTTACATTCATCATTGGGATCTTGTGCCATTACGTGAGTATCGTGGTTCTTATTTTTTCCCCATTCCCCTGCCCTCCCTTCACCACCTCCACCCTTCCCTATTTGCAAAGACTTTGTTTCCATTTTTTTTCTTTTCTCATA